GTTAGAGGAGGAATATCGGTAAGTGGGGGCGGGGTGGGAGTGTTAATGAAGGAAACGATGCGGAATGGTGCTCTTGGAAGACAAAGAGCAAAGTGTTTCAATTAACAGCACGTGATACTCAGTTGGATGTTGTTTGTCTAGGTTTGCCCTAACCAAAGCGACCGGGGCAGGGGCAGGGACGACGCGCTGGTCCTTGTAAACAACACAGGCCGGGCTGGTGGTTGTGGGGGACACAAAGCCGCAGGACTCGATGACCGTGATGTCATCATCTAGAACAACAACAACAACAACAACAACAACAACAACAACAACAACAACAACAACAACAACAACAAGTAGAAGCAAGGGTTGGGGAAGGGGCAAAGCCACAGGATTCAACAGCAGCAGCATCAACTAACTTTTTACATGCAGGAGACCCAAGTTCGATTCTCGAGTGGGATGAAAATGTCATTGAGTTTCTGGATCTTTCTGTTGGTGTTGTATACGTCTCAGTCTGGTTTTTCCCTGACAGGTAGAGCCTGGAGACCGACTCCTATATTATTATGATCTAAACTGTGTCGATGGGAGCGTAAAAGCACCCTAATTTTTAAAAAAAGTGTTTGCGAAAGAGAGAGAAGAGAGAGAGAGAGAGAGAGAGAGAGAGAGAGAGAGAGAGAGAGAGAGAGAGAGAGAGAGAGAAACTTGTCATGTCAAGATTCATTTCCGTGCTGCTCGTAAATCAAATCATTCCAAAACCAAGTAGATTCTCTATGCGGAATAAAAATCAACAGCCATAAAACTCCCAACCGACGTCAACACTGACTAAGCGTTAAAGCGATCTCCGATCTCCAAGAAAGAAAGGGCGGAAAAAAGAACAATCGTTCATTTGCATACGGCGAAGGACACTGGAGTGGTCAGGTCGGGCGCGTCAAGGAAACTGGGCGGGGCTCTGTCACAGTGTGTGTGTGGGGGGTGGGTGGGTGTATGTATGTATGTATGTAAGTTGTGTGTGTGTGTGTGTGTGTGTGTGTGTGTGTGTGTGTGTGTGTGTGTGTGCGTGCGTTTCTGTGTACGTCTCTGTGGCTGTGTGTTTGTATCTGTGTGTGGCTGTGTATATGTATAGTATGTGTCTGTGTGTCTGTCTATGTAGTATGTGTCTGTGCGACGTGCCCCCTGTCACGGAGGCTGGCTGTTTAATCATCCCGGCTGTCGGGGCCCAGGCACCGAGGTAGGTCTTTCGTTGACACTGTCCACGGGCAGCGCCCGAGTTCACAACCAGTCTCTTCTTTCTGTACCTGTGCATGGCTACTGACTAGCGGGAAGGATGGGCGTGTGTGGGTGTGTGTGTG